CGCCAAGATGCCTCCAAAAGGCCCTCAGGAAGCTCCAAGGAGGCCCCAATGAGTGCCCCCAGAGGCTCCCAAGATGCCCCCTCCTCCTCCTCCTCCTCCTCCTCCTCTCCTCCTCCTCCTCCCTCCTCCTCCTCCTCCTCCTCCTCCTCCTCCTCCTCCTCCTCCTCCTCCTCCTCCTCCTCCTCCTCCTCCTCCTCCTCCTCCTCCCCCTCCCCTCCTCCTCCTCCTCCTCCTCCTCCTCCTCCTCCTCCTCCTCCTCCTCTCCTCCTCCTCCTCCTCCTCCTCCTCCTCCTCCTCCTCCTCCTCCTCCTCCTCCTCCTCCCTCCCTCCTCCTCCTCCTCCTCCTCCCTCCTCTCCTCCTCCTCCCTCCTCCTCCTCCTCCTCCTCCTCCTCCTCCTCCTCCTCCTCCTCCTCCTCCTCCTCCTCCTCCCTCTCCTCCTCCCTCCTCCCTCCTCCTCCTCCTCCTCCTCCTCCCTCCTCCCTCCTCCTCCTCCTCCTCCTCCTCCTCCTCCTCCTCCTCCTCCTCCTCCTCCTCCTCCTCCTCCTCCTCGTGATCTTCCCGCCATCCTCCCCAAAGTGTTCCCAGAAGGGTTTCTACAAGGCTGGGGGAACACATGGCCCGATAGCTTGGCAGAGCTCTTGCCACAACGCTCGGCCACATTGGCGATTTGAAAAGGCAGGGGGCGGCGGTGATTCGCCGTGGGCGTCTTCGATCCGAGGTTCCAGGAAACTTAGAGCGACCGACTTGAAGCTGCTTTCGGCCTGCGGAGGCCCTCAACGGGACCCAGGACCGTAAAAAGGCAACCCAGGATGAGAACCTGGCCCAGGGGAAGTTCTCCAGACCTCTGGGGGTTTTCACGTATCGAAAAAGTTGGAGCTCCGGTTGTCTGGGGGTCGGCCTGGGCGTGGGGCCCACGTCTCTGCCGATCCGATGTGTTGAGATGCTGGCCCTCCTCGATGGCAGCCTCTGGGGCCCGTTATCGCGAGCATTTACACGGGCTCGTGGACGCAAAGCGACCCCCGGGGGAAGGTCGGGACCTCCGGGGCCGCGGATATGGACAATGATCAAATCGGAGGATGTCTGGGAGCGGGCGGAGACCTGGGCCTAAAAGGCTAGCGTAGCTGCACTGCGACAGGTCCGTGCCGTGACGACTTCGGCGTTGGTTTCTGACACCACCTGGATCGTTGAGCCTTGAGCGACAAGCAACTTCTCGACTACGAGATCGTTCCGTGTTGGCCGATTCTGCGCCAACGGCGGCGTTCAACTTTGAACGCCCGCGGCGGATTCGTCGACTCGATACGAAGCTACCGTACTCCTGCGGGGGGGGGGTTGCGACGCCCCACCAGACTCCTCCAGGACCTCAAAGCCCTGGAGCTCCGTGGGGCTACTCTCCTGCTCCTGCTCATCCTCCTGCTCCTGATCATGCTGCTGCTGCTTCTGCTGCTGCTTCCGCTGCTGCTGCTGCTGCTGCTGCTGCTGCTGCTGCTGCTGCTGCTGCTGCTGCTGCGGCTGCTGTTGCTGCTGCTGCTGCTGCTGCGGCTGCTGCTGCCGCTGCTGCTGCTGCTGCTGCTGCTGCTGCTGCTGCTGCTGCTGCTGCTCCTGCTGCTCCTCCTCCTCTTCCTCCTCCTCCTCCTCCTCCTCCGCCTCCTCCTCCCGTAGCCGTTTTGGCTCAAGCGTTTCCGTAGGCCCCCTGCTCCTGGACCTTGTCCCTCGACGTACTCCCATCCCGGGCGGGCGTGAGGGCCTTGGGGGGGGCCGGGCTTTTGGCTTACGGTGCATGGCGCGGGACGGGTCCCTCTCCGGGGCTCGCAGAAGGACCCGGGCGGAGCACTCAGCCGCGGCTTGGCGGGCCCGGGAGGCGGCGGATGCAGCCATCGCCGAGCTCCAGGCCAAGCTCGACGAGGCGCAGAGCCTTGTCCCGGCGCCAGAGGAGGATGCTGAGGCGTTCTCTCTGGGGGGCACGGAGGCCGATGTGACGAACTGCGGCGCCGCCTTCGGCTAATCGTACCCGTGCTGGCTGCTGGCCTCGCAGGAATGCGGGTCCCTGGTGCTGCCAGAGCCAAGCGCAACTTGGCATCGCACGCTTTCGACATCCCCGCGGTGACCATCGAGGGCGCCTCGCAGAAAGAGCTCAACAGGCTCCAGCGCGAGGGTCTGGCGGTCCCAGAGGCCACGGCAGCGCCATCGGCTCTCCGCAAGGACGCCCCCGCCTTCTGCCTTGGAGCGGGGCGCTGGGAGCCGATGGTGGACTTCAACCAAGACGTGGGCGGGCAGCTCATGAACACGGACGCGGACGTCCGCCTGGTGCACACTCCCCTCCGCGGCGGTGCACGCCCCTTCGTGCAGTCGAGCCTGCAGGAGGGTACAGTTGAGAAGCGGCTGCTGGAAGCGCTCAGGCCTACGAGGGCAAGAAACTCCGCCCTTGGCCCAGCAGCGGTAGGGAACACTGTCAAGGAGCTCGAGGAGATCGCGGAGGTCTCCACTGCAACGGGCGCGGCCGAGCTGGAGGCCCTCCTCCGCGGCGCCGCGCAGCGGGTAGACACGGCGGCGCTCGCGATCGCCTGTGCTCAACACGGCGGCATCGAGGCGAGTCAGGAGCAGCACGACGAGCTCGCTGCTGCAGCCGACCGTCTCGTCGAGCTCCAAGAGCAGCTCGCCGCCGCCACCGCGGGGGCCAAGATGGCACTGGAGGGCGCTGGGATTGACACGGTACCGCACGCGCCCCTGGCCGACGCCCGCCCCCCTGGTGGAGGGGCCGCGGCGCTCAGGCGCCCCCCTGGCCCATGGACGGACGCGCTCGTGGCATACGACGACGGCGTCGACGGCTTCGTGGAGCTGGAGGCCGCCGTCGGAAGGAGCAGTGGGGCGCAGCCTGGCGGTCCCCAGGCCCAAGCGGCCCCCGCCGCTGCAGACGCCCGCGCCCGCGACCTCGCCCAACTCTGCGCCTCCTTCGCCGCGCAGGCGCGGGGCGGCTGTTCACCGCGTGGACTTCGCCTTCGTCTTGGAGGCGGACCCCGCGGGCCACGGCGTGGGCAGAGCCTGAGGTTAAACCCAAGTTCGGCCGACGCTAAGGAAGGGATCCTAAGGGCCCCCGAGGTAGAATTTAATGCACGGACCTTTTGGGTCGAGTCTAGCCTCCTCCTCCCCTCCACCTCCTCCTCCTCCTCCTCCTCCTCCTCGCCTCCTCCTCATCCTCCTCCTCCTCCTCATCATCATCAGCATCAGCATCAGCATCAGCATCAGCATCAGCATCAGCATCATCATCATCATCATCATCATCATCATCATCATCATCATCATCATCATCATCATCATCATCATCATCATCATCATCATCATCAGCAGCAGCAGCATCATCATCATCATCATCATCATCATCATCATCATCATCATCATCATCATCAATCATCATCATCATCATCATCATCATCATCATCATCAGCATCATCATCATCATCATCATCATCATCATCATCATCATCATCATCATCATCATCATCATCATCATCATCATCATCATCATCATCATCATCATCATCATCATCATCATCAGCATCAGCATCATCATCATCATCATCATCTTCTTCATCATCATCATCATCATCAGCAGCATCAACATCATCATCATCATCATCATCATCATGATCAGCATCAGCAGCAGCATCAGCATCAGCATCATCATCATCATCATCAGCATCATCATCATCATCATCATCATCATCATCATCATCTTCACAATCATCCTACTGTTCCTTCCTCATCCGCCTCCATCCTCCTCATAGGTACTGATGCCCCCATCACCCGCAGAAACACAATCAAGTTACGTCTCAAACGCCATATATGCCAGCTGCCCGAGATGCGCCGAAGGCCTCCAATGAATCAGGGTATTGCAAGGCACGCGCGCGCAATCATCCTCCCGAGCAGCTCACGCCATCATCCTCCAGTGTGGACCGCTACTTTCGTACCAGAAAGCAAAAGCGTTGCCGCAAAGCCATCCAGAGCCACCTAATAGTAGCCGTGCACAGAGCATGGCTCCGTCGAAGTCCCAACGACAGCTTTAAGTATGACGCACACACAAACACACTTGCAAGCTTTCACGCACGCGGAGACACAACCACACAGGTATACATCCGCCGACCTCCGCTTGCCAGGGGTGAAAAGGCGTGTGAGATGATTGGCTGTCCCCCTACCTTTTTCCCCCTCCACTGGGGTCCAAAAGGCCAGTTGAGGGGGGCCGGGTGGGGGAACGAGCTCCCGAACGCATCCCTGGGGCCCCTGGAGCCTCTCCAGAGCCCCAAGAAGAAGACGGCCCAAGAGTGCCCAAACGAAACACCAAGAGAGTCCAAGAAAGCGTCGAGATGGCCCAAGGCAGCCCCACGGTGATCCAAGAAGGCTTCGAGACGGCCCACGTCACGCCCAAGACGGCACAAGGGTGCTCCCAGAGGACCGCTGGGAAGACCCCGAGAAGCGAAAATCGTTGCATCTCCTGTGGTAATTTCTTACGTTCGGCATAGTGACTCGCCTTTTGCGTATACAGAGCGTCCAAGACGACCCAATGGGCTCCCAAGATCGTCCCAAGTTCGCCCCAAGCCGGCCCGCGAGGGCCCCAAGATGGCCTCAAGGGCCCCAAAGACCGCCTGAAAGACCTCCAATGGAGGCCCAAGCCGGCCAGGGCCTCCCTAGGCGGCCCAAGAGAGGTTCCAAAGAGGCCCAATACACTGAATTCCCAGTGGTATTTCGAGCGCACCAAAAAGCCTCCAGATGCCTCGACAGACGCTCCAAGAGGCTGCTGAGAGGCATCCCAAGAGACGCCAAACAGGCCTCCAAGATTTTCTCGCCCTGCCTATGCTTTCTTTTTGGGAACGGCGGAGTGGCGCAAGCCCTTTCAACATCTATACGCACACACACACACACACATACGCGCGCGCCTGCACTTAATGTGGCGCATGGGTCCGTGTGTGTGTGTGTGCGCGCCCACAAAGTGCGCCCCTCCATTCTTCTACATGCGACTGCAGACTGCAAAGCACGCAACCTGGAAATTCGCAAACTCCGGGAACAAGCCGAAGTCGCCACAGAATCTCAAGAAAGCGTTGAGCGTCATGTGCCCACCGTTGCCCGACGGGTCTGTGGGCACATCTCGGTAAACCTGCGGAGGAGAAACAGACAAAGAATCGAGAATGGGAACGCCGAGCTACAAGATCAGGCTAGCGGGTGCACGCCGGCCAAAGAGGCATCCACTGCCGAGTGCGTGCATCCAACATCTCTGCGATCGCACAAGTATCTCGGCACGAAATGCGCGTGCGTCGAACCTGTCCAACCGTGCTGCCCCCGCCTCGCACTGTGTAATCACAACAGAGTCCGTTCGCACTCCCGCTCGCACCCAAGAGGTGAAGAACCAGGATGAGGAGGAGGAGGAGGAGGAGAAGGCAGAGAACACCAAACCCTTTCCCATACATCCTCCTCCTTGGACCGGGACCCCGCCATCCTCCTTCTCCTACCCCCGTCCGCCTCCTCGCCCTCCCCTCACCCTCCTTGTGTCCAAGAGACTCCAGCGGAGATTCACCCTTCTGCCACCCGTCATCGCGCTGCGTGCTGCGCGAAGCGCGGCCACCTTCGCGCCCTCACTCGGCCGCCCGGGGTAAGAACGGCTCTCCACGGGAAGGACAGGCCGCGACGAGCGAGGTGCGACGGTGCTCGCGCCTCCGCGGTGCAGTGCCTGGTCGGGAACTTTCGCTCTCAGCGTGCCTCGGCGCGGGCCCCGGCCGGGGCGACACGCTGCGCTCTCCGAGCAGACCGCGTGACGCTCCGCATCGCAGGGCGGGAGGCCGAGCAGAGCTCGGGACGCTTGGCCCCCTGGAGACGGGGGCGCGGCCGGCGTGTCGCGCTGGAGAGCGAGGTGGGCCCGAGCCGGCGGAGCGAAGCGGCGAGCACGAGTCCCAGACGGTGGCACTCCAGAGCCGAGCCATCCGCCACCGTGCCTCGAGCACGCAGACGGGGGGCCAAGGCTCACGCGGCTGCGCATGCCGCACGGGGCGCCACAGGACAGCAGGATCCTGAGGGACCCAGACGCCCGATCGGCCGAGAGACTTCTGGGCGCCCTCGGACTGCACACCACGAGCCTCCCAGGGGCCGGATCTGCTGCGGAAGCGCTGCGGTGCTCAGCACGCGTCTGACCCAGGAGGGTGCGTCGGGCCAGGTGCCCGACACCCTTCCCGCCCAGGACGACCCCAAGGCTCCCCAAAGTGGGAGGGCGCCAACGATGCTCCCGCAGTGATCCTGGCCAGGCCCGTCCTGGGCCCAGGATGGAAGGCGTGTACACCGATCCGTGGGCCCCGGCCCGACCTGGCCAGCGTCGGTGCAGGTGCATACAGTAGGGGCCCGACCACAAGAAACCTTCCACAGGAAACCCAACCATAAGACCCCAGGGCGTCCACTGATAAGGGGGTGGGCACGTCACGCTCTCCATAGCAGAAGCATCGAAACCCAAGAAACCCAAGGCACCCTGGAGGCAAGCAGGGTGCTTCTTGGCATTGGTCTCCACTGCAGTTGACACCCTCCGGCAAGAGGTTTCCTGGAGACATTCCGGTTGGATCCCAAGCCGCGGTAACGGAATGGGCCAGAGGCCACTACATATAGATAGTACCCGTTGTGGTGCCCGAACAGGCGCCAGAACCCCCGATGTCTGCCTCGTGAGGTTAGTGTTCGGGCTCGTCAACCATAGGCGCCAGCGAGACTGTGCGGAGGCGAACGCGCGGAGGCGGCCTCCTTTTGTTCAAGTTGCGCGAACTGAAGACCTGAGTGGCTGTAGCGTCACTGCGACATTAAGGGTAGCAACCGACTTAGGCGAGGTGGCCTCAGTCCTGGCTGCAAGCAAGTGCGGAACAAAGAGCTGCAAAGAGAGATAGAAAAAGAAGACGAGCCCGCAAGGGTATAGAGCAACTAACTAAACAGAGAGCCTGCAAAGCATGAGGAGGATGGACAAACCAATAATCCAAACAACAGCGGACCATCATAAAATCACACTATAGGGAAGCCTGAACATCCTCGACCCAACCTGGCGCAAGAGTGTGCCTCCGTGCGCGCCCCTTACCGCGATCGCCGCCGCATGTGCCGCGAGGAACAGAGGCGGGCGGCATCTCCGACAGGCGAGCACCTGAATGCCGCATATCCCCCCGACAGGTTCCCTGCGCAAACGCCTGTGCGCATCGTCGCATCGGACGGGTCGCGGACAGCCCCGCCCTGTCCCGCGCGAGAGAGCAGGCGGGCCGTGAAGATGACGCCGAAGAGGTCCCTGAACTCAGCGATGAAGTGGATCACCTCTGGCTCGAGCAGCTGGCTGGGAGGCGTTGGCTTTCGACCCCTCGCAGGAGAGATCGGAGGCAAAGAGGAGGAAGCAGAGGAGAAGGACGAGGAGGACGAAGGCGACGAAGATGACGAGGGGAACGAAAAAACCGAGAAGAAGACGTAGACAGAGCCGAGACGACGAGGAGGAGCGACCGGGGAAGCAAAAAGGAGAGGAGACCCCCAAGCACGGGAGGCACGGGCTGGACGCGGAGGCACCCGAAAGCCCGGGCTCTTTGCCAGAGCGGTAATGATAATACTAACGATAATAATGACGATGGTGATGGTGATGGTGATGGTGATGGTGATGGTGATGATGATGATGATGATGATGATGATGATGATGATGCTGGTGAGAATGATGATACTGATGATGATTGTGGTGATAAGTATGATGTTGGCGGTGATGATCACGATGCCGATTGTGATGACGATGATGGTGATGATGCTGATGCTGAGTATACTGTTGATGATGCTGCTGATGACAATGGTGATGATGATTCATCATCATGGTGATGATGCTGATGATGATTCATGATGATGGCGATGATGATAATGGGGATAACGACGATGATGCTGATGGTGATGATGATGCTGGTGATGATGCTGATGATACTGATGACGATGCTGATGATGCTGATGATGATGCTGATGATGATGATGTTGATGATGGTGATGATGATGGTGATGATGATGATGATGGTGATGGTGATGATGATGGCGATGATGATGATGATGATGATGATGATGATGATGGTGATGATGATGATGATGATGATGATGATGATGATGATGATAATGATGATGATGAGGAGGAGGAGGAGGAGGATGAGGATGAGGCTGCTGCTGATGATGCTGCTGATGATGGCAAGAATCGACGGCGGAATGACCCTGTGGCCCGGGGGCGCGCAGGACACGGCGGCGGAAGGCGTGGGAGATCGAGCGCGAAGCGCCGCCGCGCCACGGGGGCCACGAAGGGGGGGAGGGCCACCCGCAAGAGACGATGGGCCGATTCTCCACCACTACCATAGGTAGGAGAGGAAGGAGGAGGAAGGAGGAGGAGGAGGAAGAGGAGGAGGAGGACCTCCCCATCCTCCATTCCCCTCTGTCCTACCCATGGTAGTGGTGGTGGTGGAAAATTGGCCCATCAAGAGAGGCGGCACGACCAGGGCTGGAGAGGCCAGGCGCTCGACGCCCAGTGACGCCCGCAGTCTGCTGCCACGTTCTCCAGAGGCCTCCAAGATGGGGTCCGAGTAGATGGGGTCGAAGGGTTGCGCCGCATGGCCAATGCATCGCCGATGCATTGGCGATGTATCGGCGACGTCGGCGATGCATCGGCGACGTCGGCGTGGGGAAACACGGCCTTCACATCGAGCAGCATCGCCGATGCATTGGCGATGCGGCGCGATCCTCCGACCCCATCTACTCGGACCCCATCGAAGAGGCCTAGATGAGAGGCCAGGCGCCCGACGCCCAGTGACGCCCGCAGTCTGCCGACACCTTCTCTCCTCTTTCCCCGTCCGCGTGCGCGCGCGCCAGGCCCTGTCGGGCCGTGCGAGTGCACGCGCCATGGTGGAGGGCCACGCAGGCAAAACCCACGAGGACTTGTCCCTCTGGTACAGTCTCTGGCCAGAACGGATTTCCCAGCAGGCTGCCAGAGGAGTGGGCATTCTGGAGCTTCTGCTACTGCTGGACCCGCGCGGGGATAGCAGCGCAGCCACGATGTGGCCGCGCTCGCTGCTGGAGGTGTGCGTGCTCCCCGCCCACCCTGCGGATGCAAGCCGCACCGACGAGGCGGGCTGTGCTCTCCCCGCTGCAGGGAAGGATGCCGCGAGGCTCTCGTCGGAGCTCCGCGCCACGGGCCGTGCGCGCCGCGCCGGGGCCCTGCGCGGGCGCCGGGACCGTGCGGGAGACCGCCGCCTGCCAGAGCGCCACGGGGCCAGCCCTGGCTCGAGCCGAGACCGTCAGTGGCAGACCCGCGGGCCTGGCAGCGGGCCGGGCGTGGGCCAAGCGCCCTTCCGCGAAACCTGCCAGGGGCGCTCCGAGGGCGCAGCGCACGGCGGTCCACGTATGGGCGCGATCGGGGAGGCTGGTCGACGTCCGGAGACAGGCGAGCAACTCTGGCGAGGCGCGCGCCGACTCGCGCAACCGCCTGGGGACTGCACCGGTACGCTCGAAAGCCGATGCCGAGTGGACCTGTGCAGAACTCCTCAGTCGACTTGTCTGAGAGGGCGTTATCTCAATGCCCGAGCGGGCAGCTGGGATGGGCAGAGCTCCTGCAAGAGAGAGAGCACTGAGCATCGTTGAACCGCTCCCTACAGTGAACCCGTGTGATAAGGACGCACGCTAAGAGTGCAAGGGCCTCAGAAGGCCATGTCGACACTCTGCGACCGGGGCGCGGCCAGCGGAAGCGGCCGAGCAACTTTTTCAAGGGTGTCCCCCTTGAAAAAGTCGCTCGTCCTTACTAGGTGGGTCGACTGCATTCCCACTGGCGCGGCCTTCGCCCCACTGGCCGAAGTACCATTCCAGGTGAGGATATGCTCCTGGCACGTCGGGTTTCGCGAGGCCCATCCCCACCTGGGAGGCTGGGATGGTCGGGCTGACCACAAGAAACCTTCCACAAGAAACCCAACACTGAGACCCCAGGACGTCCATAGACCATCGATTTTTGGTGGGGGAACGTCACGCTGTCCATCGCAAAACCATCGAAGCCCAAGAAACCGAGGACACCCTGGAGGCAAGCAGGGTGTTTCTTGGCATGGGTCTCCACCGTATGGCCCAGTGGAGATGGGGCCAGGTTGGACTCGGCGGCGAGCCTGGGCGGGAAAACGAGGAGGACGCCTTCGCAAAAGGCTCGGAAGTCTCCCGGCCTTTCGAGAAGTGTTCTAAGCCTTCCCCGAAGGCACTGAAAGCTTCTCAGAGGGCGCGAGGGCTTCTGAGAAGGCCCGCTGCCTTCTGAGAAAGCCTTCTCCGTCCCGTGTTCCCCCCCTAGGAAGGCACCAACTATACACCAACACCGATCCTGGCCCAGGATCACCCTGGGCCCAGGATCGGTGTATACGCCCTCCTGCCTTGCGCAAGAAGGCATATACACCGATCCTGGGCCCAGGGTGACCCTGGGCCAGGATCGGTGTTGGTGTATAGTTGGTGCCCTCCGAGAGAAGGCCCACTGCCTTCTGAGAAAGCCTTCTCCGTCTCATGTCCCCCCCCTCGCTCGCCGCCGAGGAACGCTACTGAAGCACACACACCCGTGGCCCGATCGCCTCTCGCACGCGGGGGCCCCCGGAGCTCTCGACCCTGGCCTCCTGAAGTCGCTGCTCGTTGGCCGTCCCTTGGGCCCAGAAGCGGCCCCTCGGCGCCGCGAGCGGCGCAACTTGTTGTTTTTTTTGTTTTTTGTTCAACCCACCATGTGAGCATGATTTGTTCGATGTTCCCAGGCGCTCCCATGCGCTCCCAGGCGCTCCCAGGCGCTCCAGAAGCGCTCCCAGGCGCTCCCCAGGCGCTCCCAGAAGCGCTCCCAAGCGCTCCCCAGGCGCTACCAGGCGCTTCCAGGTGCTCCCAGGCGCTCCCGGACCCTCCCAGGCGCTCCCAGGCGCTCCCAGGCGCTCCCAGGCGCTCCCGTCAACGGTATTGGTGAGAGCTCCGCACTGTGCGAGGGCTGGGACACCGGAGGTCCAAGTGGCCAGCGCCGAGGGGGGGAGGGGGCGAGTGACGAAACTTGTTGTGCCTGGTCCGCGGCGAGCTGGATCCAGCACGCGGTCGGCTGGTGGCGGGGCGCGGAAGAAGATGCCTCGAGAACAGGAAGCCCTCCGTCGGCCAACCAAAAAGAGAGCAGCCGAGGGTACCCTCCCCAGGATGCACAGCAGCCACTACACGAAGCACACTACAGTCGGGGCGTTGACCTAAGGAACCCTAAAGAAGGAACGAGGCCCCTTTTTTCCACAAGTTAAACTTAGATTACCCATCGAAAACATAAGGATAACCTGAGGCAAGCTGTAAAACAATCAAGGAGCACCGAGCCCCTCCCCAACGAAAAGGGTTCCTTCTTCAGCGCCCCGACTGTAGGGCACCCTCCCCGAACCGACCTCGATCTGATGCCGCGGTCCGACTGTCTGGAGGAAGCAAAAAGGGCGATTTTGCCCAGAGGCCCGTCCGGTCTGAGGCCCGAGCTGGCGAAGTGGAATGGCAGCCCGTCCTCCCTCCAGGGAGCCGCGATTCGCTGAGATCTCATGGGGGCTCCAGACTTCCAGCCCACAATAGATGAGCGTGTCTTTGAGGGATGAAAAAACGACCCTACCCTGGGTTACAAGTGCGTGGTCTGTAAACCTCCTGGGAATCCCCAAAGCCTAGAGCCGCCAGGACGCGGCACATCACGCAGGGTTTACCCTGTCAGCCCACAGGAGTTTCAGCGCACAGCGCCTCGTAAACTAGGGTAGGGGCGTTTTTTTGAATGCCCTTGATGTCTTACAGCTGGAGGAGGGTGTTTTGCAGCTGGGCTGAGCTGAGCTGTGCTTCCCAGCTCCTTGCGTCAACAGGGAAGAAGCAAAGGCGACCAGCGTCACGGAATGGAGGTCCCCCGTCACCACAGCTGTCGCCGAACGGCCGAAGCGCGGCAGGAGGTGAGCCCGACGGCCACTCGGGCGGCGCGAACAGTATCACCGCACGAGCCTTCCGTCGCCATGTCCTGCAGACGCGAGAGGGGGGCCTGGCGGTTGCCCTCCTGAAACGGATGCAGGATCGAGACAGAGTCTGATCGGGATGAGTGGGCATCTCTGGGATCCTGCGCTTCCGGGGGATCTGACAATATCGGGCGCCACGGCCTTCTCAGAGCGCTCTGAAACGCTGCGAGAGCGTCCCGGAACGCTCTCGAGCGATGTCTCCCGATCCTGGACCTGATTTACCTCTCCCACCGCCGTTGCGAGGAGCTTTTGGAGCTATGGGAAATATGAAGGCTAAGTACGCGCGTGTATAACTCTGACGTCCTCGTCGTCGCTT